GGAAGGGAGGAAGGGAGGATTCAGACAGACTAGGAGAGACCAGGGCTTGTGGGGAGAGAAAGGACATAGCAGCTGACCTCCACCCTGATATTCACCTTCACGAGAAACAAAGGAAATGATTGCCACTTGACAAGCAAAGAGCACAGCTACTTCTGCTTCCTTTAGTCAGCGAGCCTGGCATCAACCTGAAACCAGACACCCATTGCTTTAAATCAATGCAGAAGGGAGAGTACAAAGGGATGGAGAGAAATACGTTAATAAAAATGGCCTTCCAAACCACAATAGCAGCCAATTATGGAACACACATTTTCTTCACAGCCTTGCTTTACTTTGTATTTTGTCATGGGAATTATTAACCTTACATCATAGGAGTAGAAAATAGGCCATAATGTAACCTCTGCAAATTTCACAATCCACCCCAAATAAGAGACTGAACTAGGACTCAAACCTACTATGTAACTTCAGTGCAGTCACTGAAAAGTTTAGAAGACAAACTTAATGATTTAAAACATTTATGTGTGTGCACATATACATATATGTAGATAGATGAAGATGTATGTATATTCATACACATATATTACTGATTCTACTCTTTTGTCAAGAAAAATAGGTATAATTCACACACATACAGGTACACAGGTAAACATGCACATGAAATTCTGTAATAATAATACTCTTTATAGCCTTTTCTTAACGGAAGACCACTTTGATGTTTGTAGAAGTTCCTGAGGTTTCCTTTTCCAACACACCCATCAAGCCAATAACTTACATGCATAGGAAAAGCATTTTCTGATACATTTATATTCAACAGATATTGTTGGCCCTGAGGTGGAAAATCATAGCAATGATGCAATGCCAGCTTCCACACACACTGTTCATTAGTAATTAAGATAAAGCATACTGTATGTATGCAAGGGGCTGATAATTTCTTACTTTGAAACCATCTTAACAACATCTATATGAAAAGAACTCTGTAAGTTCTTTGTCCTAAAGGAGTTTGCCAAACAAGAGGATTTTAAAAAGGAAAATTATATAGTATTTTTCAGTTCCTACTTGTATGCCAGAATTTAAAGACACACAAAGATAGAGATGTTCTTGCTACTTTGTGCTCTTTTTTATGGTAGAACTGATGATGGTGGAGAGACTGCTTCCCCAAGAAGTATCATTGCAGCCATCTACAGAGCAACAAATCAGTTTTGATGAGAAGAGAAAATAAATACAAATAGAATTCCTTGCACAGTAGGCAGATAAAATGGAGTCCTGGCAGGAGAAATATATGGGTAAGACACGAACACCTGAAATCACTTCTGATTTCTGGCTGCAGTGGGTGTTTGTACCCAAGTTTTATTATAGGCATGTAAGAAAAGGGAGATCTGATGAAACTGAGCCATCAAAAACTCCCTGTTTGAACATTTTTATTTTATGAAAACATCTATGGGATATAAAGAACTTTTATTTCCAGTACAAATACACACATTAGCTAAAAACTAAAGGACACATTAAGCATACTATTTGACAAGATACTCAGATAATTTAATTCATTGGCAGGTACTTATCTAAAAAGGGCTGATCTAAGAGTGAAATGAGATTATCTGGCGAGATTGCACTACAGTCAGGCCTGCTCACACAAGTGATGTATTTTAGTGTTTTGGAAGAGGAAAATCAATTCGACAATATCTCTTTCATGTTATGTATGAGATTTCAGAGTGCATTGGTATCACTGAGGTCATCATGGAAGTCAGAATGGGAAACCTAATTTCATAAAGAAAAATCATGCTGTTTAATGTGTTGTTTGATCATCTTTGGAGTTTCAGGTGAAAATGTTCAGGAATCGGGTGTGTGGGTAATTGACTTAAGTAGGCAGGTGGGGCAGTGGATAAGATTTAAAATTCATGAACATGGAGCAAATAGCTGAAGAAATGGGCTGACCAAAAGAGACAATTGAAGGTAAAGAGGAAGAAAAGGGGAGGGACAGAAAAAGAGAAGAAGGAAGAGAGGAGAAAGAAAGGGACAGGGTAAAGGAAGGGGGGAGGTAAAAGAAAGGAAAAATACCCACTAGGAACAGAGTCATAGGCCTAAGGGACCAAGTAAATGCAAAAGACTCCAATGTAGAAGTAGATGAAGCTGAGAGAGAATCAGACTGAGCAGCTAAAACCAATTACAATGTTAAGGCCACATGGTTTAGGCAACAGATACCCTATAGTGACCTGTTAATAGGCAACAAATATAGTCTTTCAAACAAAAATCAATATGTTGTGTTGAGTTGTATCAATAGTGAAGATGTTTAGAACACTATCTATACCTTCCTTCCTAGTGTTCATGTATGTATCATGTTCCTGAGGTATAGAACCTGTAAACAGGGTACTTGATCATTATTTTCTCTGACAGAGAGTTTAATTCAAGTTAAAAATGAAGAATGTAAAATCTGTATTTACTTCTTTTGTATTTTTCCTGTGTATATTTTCTTTTATTACTTTTATCTGTTTCTAATGTATTTGATGTTATGGGTTAATAGCCCATTATGCTGTTATTACATACATAAAGACAACATTGGGTTTGGCAAGATGGCTCAGCATTCAAGAGCACTGGCTGCTCCTGCAGAGGACCAGGATTCAATTCCCAGCATCCACATGGTGGCTAACAACCATCTCAATCCCAGGAGATCCAACACCCTCCTCCAGTCTCTACAGGCAATGCACAGCACCTGCATATATGCAGGCAAAATACCATACACCTAAAATAGAAATTTAAAAATGTGGGGGAAACATGACTTTTGTGATACCTTACTTTGAATTTACTACTTGATCTCTGAGAAGGAAGAAATCTAAAAGCCCTCCTTTTATTACAGTCTGAGATTTGAGGATTTCTGTATGAAGGCCGGGGTTGAGGAATAGGCAAACAGATCTACAATAGGCAGAAAATATCAAAATCCTGTTTTAGAAAGCAAGTAATAGTGATAGTGGCTTCAACGATTCAGCAAAAGTAGGAGTGGGTGAATGGTAGTAGATATTGCTACTGAAAATCATGTAGTTAATGTAAATTAGCCACAAAGAGAGAAGACTCATTGGTATCAATTACTGTGTAATCCAGTGTGGACTCAGCCCACTTGCTCATACCAGCAACTGCCTGACTCTAGTCCTAGATAGTGTTCTATGTCTCTGTGCTACATCTGCATGTCAATATACACAACAAATTAAACATGAAGCAAATATCAATAGGATTAGCTTGACATGTTGGAACAAATCTTGATAAATCCGTCTTAGAAACAATATTCAAACCACACGCCTATGACAAGAATACAAATTTAGCCAATTGAAATACTGTCGTGTAAGGAGAGATATTTTAATAAAAGTGCTCCTCCGTCAGTTTCTATCACTAGAGGACTAAAGCTAGTGATCTGTGGAACTCAGGCCAAGAAAGGGGATTTGGAAATGCAAATTGGAGATAAGAAGCTAATAAATGTCTTTTGTTCAGCAGCACACCATCCCAGAGGGCAGGAGCTATTTGAAATATGATTTTTAACAGTTTTGTGAAATTGGAAGCATACATACCCAAAATGGACATCTCTGGCACAGTAGCGTGATAGGGTCCATTGAGGAACTCTGGTGCGTTGTCATTGATGTCTTGAACTTTAATAATAAATTCAGAAGGAGGCTCAAGAGGTTTGTTTGTCTCCCAGTCCACCGCCTGAGCTGTTAATGTGTACTCAGCCTTTTCCTCTCGGTCAAGTCTTTTTATAGCATGGATATCTCCAGTAATATCATTTATTTGAAAGATTGTCCCAGCTCCATCACCTGATAGGATATACTTGATTTTTTTACTTCCAGGATCCAGGTCTGTGTGTAACTAAAATGAAAAGTAGCTTTGGTTAGTGATGGAGAAATCTGCAAAAATTTTCAGCTGTCTCCTGTCTGTATCATGTTGGCTCTTTTTATAGATGTTACTCATTCTCTGCCTAACATAGTCTGAATAGTCTGCCTAACATAGTATGAATAGTCTATACATTTGTGTGGACAGCACTTTAACATAAAGTAGAAATGCTCTAATTTGTTTAATATAAACTGACAAGCTTTCAGAATGATGGCAAAGTCAAGAAAACACAAAATGACATGGATTCTTTTTGACTTATTCATACACACATTCTGTTATTCCTAGCTGCCTTTTGTGAATATCTGTGTATCAAGAACTGAAAATCAGTTTTAATATAACCATCCCCTTAACTTTTATTAAAACAAGTTAATATGCAGTATGAAATATAACATGGGGTCAACATGGCCCACAATAACCTCTCTAGAGTTCACATTTGGCGGTATCAAATGGAGTAGTTTCAGAGCTTGGGTTCAGTGCTACTCTACTTGTACAAAGATGTTCTAAAATCCTGACTTGCATTGCCATGGTTTTCATAAGGCTGTCAACCTTTCCTTTAATCAAAATTCTTCTTGTCCATCAAATTCATTCCCATTTTATAGAAAGGAATGTCAAGCATAGAACATGGGAGCACATTTCCAAGGGATGAAATTCCATAGAAAATTTCTCAGCAGGAATTCAGATTCATTACAGGTCACAGCAACAGGCATGTATCGAACAAGTATTTATGGAATGCCAAAAGCAAGCAAATATTTGGCTTTAGACACATAGGGAGATGCTGAGGAAAGCAGATTATTTTGTTTAAAAGTCTTAGAGTTTGCTCTCAAGTAGACGATAGGAGTTTGGGCCCTGAGATATGTAAACTCCTACATACAAAATAATAAACTAAATAAAATAATGCATATTATTATAGAATCTTCTTTTTAAAGGAAAAATACTGAATTAAAAATGCAAAATACTGCTTAAATACACATTTTTTTAGTTTCACTCAGTTACTTACCTACCAATAGAGTTCTGATTATTGCACCTTAAGCTATCAAATATTTGTTCCTTAATAAAAGTGTGTTATGGAAAGAAATGCCTAGAAATTCAAGACATGCTCTCTTGGGATTCTTTTTATTCAGAACAGTTCTATCACTTTCTTCGCCATTTGAATTATATTTAGGGCTTTAGTCAGTGAAAAGAAAAGATCATAAAGCAGACATTAAATGGCAACAAAGGATCCAAATGCAGCTAAATAGATCTCCTGCATTACTTTTGAATACTTTAAAAAAGTTAAAGCATAAAATTACATCAAATATTTATTGAATCTCAAAGTCATTTATTGTATTAAATTTATGAACAGGAACAAATATTGAAACACCACTTTATCTTAATGAATGTGGGATTATAATTCATTAATGTGATATTAATCCTAATTTATGATCATTTTAATTTATGTGCATTTTAAGATTTCCATTAGCATTTTTATTAAAAATAAAATTTGAATAATATATCATTCATAGATGTTTCCTTCCACATAAAAACCTTTTGAGAGACAAGCAGGATATTTGGATTTGTCACCCTGTCCACAAATTTTTACTAATTAACAAACAAACCACTCAAATTTATCTTATTGCTATTGATGTTAGAAATTACTTCTACCATATTTTCTTTCCAACTACCAATAGCATCTGGATAATAAATTGCATTATGATACTGGGTTTTCATGATCTCTTGTGTTCAAAAACAAGAGAAAAGAAGTGAAAAGCACAGATTGTTCTTTAAAGAATAAAACACAAGCTGGGCATGGTGGCACACATCTTTAACCCCAGCACTTGGGAAGCAGAGGCAGGCAGGTCTTTGTGAGTCGAGGCCAGCCTGGCCTACATAGTGAGTTCCAGGACAGCTGGGGCTACGAAAAAAAAAAAAAAAAAAAAAAAAAGAATAGAACACAAAGGTAAGATTCACATCTTTTAACTATAGAAAATGTGAAGATTAACATGCTTTCTAAACCAGTTACTCTGTGTATAATATGGGGACATAATCACTCTGCACAGTTGACTTTAGAATCTGACAAAATACATCTATCCAAAAATTATTTTAAAATGAAAGTGATCAGATTTCATGTAAAATAGTGAAAACAATTTTCATCCCATAACACACACAACCCTATACAACTATCTGAAAATCTGCCACAAATTCATTTATGAAAACAGATTCATGAGATTCCACTCAAATATAACTTTGGACCAGTGACATGGCTCAGGTAAAGGCATTTGCTGCCACTCCTGATGACTTGAGTTTGATCCCTCGAACCCACATGGTGGAAGAAAGAACTGACTTTTGTGAGCTGTCCTCTAACCTCCACAAGTGCCCGATGGGATACTGATGGGAATGCATGTGTACATGCACACACACACACACACACACACACACACACAAACAAATAAGATGGATGGATGGAGAGGTGATAGAAGATAGATAGATAGTAGATAGATAGATAGATAGATAGATAGATAGATAGATAGATAGATAGAGACAGATAATAGATAATAAATAAATAAATAAATAAATAAATAATAGCTTTTACTCAGTGAGCACTCTAGAAAAAACTGAAAAATCATAAATATTACATGCATCCATCCTAGGTCACTTTAATTTTCAACCTTACACAGCCTAGATATAATATGAGAAGAGAGTCACAATCAAGTGACTGCCCAGATCAGACTGGCCTCGGTGTGAGCCAGTGAGCAGCATTCCTCTATGGTTTCTCCTTTAAGTTCTACCTGGAGTTCTTCCCTGACTTCCCTCAATGTTAGACTGTGACCTGTAAGTGTAAGCCAAGTAAATGTTTTCCTTCCTTAATTTGCTTTTGGTGATGTTTGTCCCAGAAACAGAAAAGAGCCCAGAAATTTATTTTCTGCTCATCCTAATAAAATGCTGATCCATAGGCTAAGGGTAGTCCTGAAGCATATATTAGATTTATGTGTTTAATCATCTCAGTATTTGTTTTTAGTTCAACTTCTTTTTTTTTCAGTTTCCTATGTATTTATTTTTCTTCATCCTAGTATTTTTATCACACACACACACACACACACACACACACACACACACGCTAGCTCCTGGCTTGTGAAGGGAAGCATTTTGACATTACAATGAAAAGATTGTGGGTGTAAGACAAAAGGGCAAATGATAGACGCCAAGACACCTAGTTCTCCATGTCTGGCCTCAGAAGTAGTGCAGGGCACAGCTCCAAGCTGCTGTTGTCGCTGTTCTTCCCCACATGTCTGTCAAATCCTACAGACTTAGTGAAGCAACACTGCCTATCACTTCATCCCACTGACACGAGCCTGTGAAGTTAAAGATATCCCAAGTGTACTAAATGTTCACAGTTGAGCATCATCTGGAGGCGTGAGTGCCATCTTTCTCAAAGGTTGCTTTTGCTAACTGGAGCATAATAAGGGCCACATGCAAGTCAGGCTGGATAGTTAAGCTTCGGGGGCTGACTGTGGCACAAGTAGATCTCAAGTATTCACCTAATAAGCACTTAAACAACTACCGTGCTCTTCCATGTGTTATCGTAGAGATTTATGTAGAGCAATCGACGTGGTCTCTGCTCTCAGAGTGAGATAGATTTGTGGGAGATAAACATAGACTGAAATCTTAAGGGAAATATAATGAATACCACTTTGGTTGTTCTTGCTCTTCTGTTGTTTGGTATGGATAAAAAAATCCCTTCCACAGGCTAATACACTGAATGACTTGTTTTCACCTAGTGGAAGTATTTGGGGGAAGCTCTGGAAACTTTAAGGGAGTGATCTAGTTTAAGAAAGTAGGTCACAAAGAGGATGCCTCTGAAAGTTGTATCAGCTCCTCTCATCCTTCCATCGCTGCATACTGCCATGAGATGAGGATGCTCTTCCACCACACATCCATCACTATATTCCGACCAAGCATAAGACCAAACAGCAATGGACTGAATCCTCAGATACCATGAGTAAAAATAAATTTTTTGCCCCTTAACTTTTCTCAGTCAAGCATGGTGTCAGAAAAATAATAACCAAGACATAAGTATCAAGTATTTATTGCCTGGTCAAAAGTTTGCACATGCATGGACTTTCTATCAAAACAAATAGAGGGAATTCCTCCATTTCTTGGAGATGTGTAAGTTGTCAGATATGTATAAATGGTCTAAGTGTTTCACATTAAGTCTTCAATTTCAAGTCATATCAGGGTTGCTCATAGTAGAGTTGAGTCATGAATGCTAGCATCATTACACCCTCATTACCTTCCAAATATTTTTACACATTCCATTTAAAAGACAAGTTCATACAATAGGAGTCCTAGGAAGATGGATTTACATGCCACTCTTCGTATTCTCTTTGCCTGGCAATGTGTTTGTCATGTTTTGGGAAATTCAATAAATAATTTTGGAGTACAGTGCATGTAAAGGAAGGGGAAAGATAATTTCTCATTTTATTTTCAAAATAATGATACAAAGAAGGAGGCAAATAAAGTTGGAAGAGTTGGTGCAGGAAACTAAAATATAATCTTTGACAAACACAAGTTCCTTTTTAAAATTATTTTATTATTTTTAATTTATGTGTATGAATAGATTGCCTGCATGTATGTAAGTGCACCTGTGCCATGAAATGCCTAAGGAGGTCAGAAGAGGGCATTGGATTCCCTTGGAAATGGAGTTATAGATGCTTGTTAGCCATGATGTGGGGGTTAGGTCTTCTGCAAGTGCAGCCAGCACCCTTAACCGCTGAGCCCCCTCTCCAGCCCTGAAACACAAGCTCTTAAGCGTCTCCATATTTTTATTCAAATTTAAATCCCTACATATGAACTAAGATAGAAGAACTGATGGAAAGACGAATGAGTAGGATGATAAAGACAGAGTTTTTAAAGAGATAAATTAACAGATGAATGACAAATGGCAATTATCACATATTCAACATCATCATTTTCAGAATCACAGGAAGAACCTTTGTCCC